GTGCCACCACACTCAGCTAATTTTTGTATTTTTAGTAGAAACAGAGTTTCACCATGTTGGTCAGTCTGATCTCAAACTCTTGACCTTGTGATCCACCCACGTCAGCCTCCCAAAGTGCTGGGATTACAGGCATGAGCCACCACGCCTGGCCTTAAGAACTTTTTGTTTTTAATTATGCAATCAATACATGTTCCTTGTATACAGAAAAGAAGCTCAATCCCCAGGTTTACAAATGATGATTAGAATAACAGCAGCTACTGGTAAATAATATTGTTTCCATTTACTATATGCCTGTACTTTCAGGTCCATTATCTTCCTTATTTATTTTCCATAATCCTGAAATGAAGTCATATTTACTGAAAGAACTAAAGTAGGGGTTAAGAATACAGGATTTGGGCAGGGTACAGCGACTCACGCCTGTAATCCCAGCACTTTGGGAGGCAGAGGCGGGAGGATCACCTGAGGTCTGGAGTTTGAGACCAGCCTGACCAACATGGAGAAACCCTGTCTCTACTAAAAATACAAATTAGCCGGGCGTGGTGGCACACGCCTGTAATCCCAGCTACTTGGGAGGTTGAGGTGGGAGAATCACTTGAACCCAGGAGGCAGAGGTTGCAGTTAGCGAAGATCACACCACCGCACTCCAGCCTGGTCAACAGGAGTGAAACTGTCTCAAAAAAAGAAGAAAAAACAAACAAAAAACAAAAACAAAAAAAGGCACCGTTTTTCAACAGAGATGCCACTGACTTTGGGGGCCAGATAAGTCTTAGTTGTGGGAGGCTGTCTTGGCCATTGCAGGATGTTTAGCAGCATTACTGGCCTCTACACACTACCAGTAGCACCCACTTCCCACTTGCAACAACCAAAAATGTCCCCGTACATTGCCAAATGTCCCCGGGGGAATCGGGGTTGGGGGTGCAAAATCACCTCCAACTGAGAGCACCACTGCCTTAAAGAGATGGCAATTATGAAAAGATTAAAGCAGGCTCCCCAAACTCGGGCCCATGGGCCGCATGCGGCCCCCTGAGGCCATTTATCCGGCCCCCCCGCCGCACTTCAGGGAGGGGCACCTCTTTCATTGGTGGTCAGTGAGAGGAGCACAGTATGTGGCGGCCCTCCAGCGGTCTGAGGGACAGTGAACTGACCCCCTGTGTAAAAAGTTTGGGGACGCCTGGATTAAAGCATCAAAGCACTTTAGAACAGGAAGGATTTTAAGGAGCCTGAGAAACAGTGATTCTCAAACTTTGCTAGGTATCAGCCTCCCTGGGGAGTTTGTTAAAATGCGGCACCTGGACCTCACCCCAGACCTATCAACACAGTTGAGTGTTGGGTTTTGCCCCAGCACCCACATCCTCATTCTACAGCTAAGTTAACGTGAGCCAGAGAGGGAAAATGCCTTGCCCAAGGTCACAGGGCGAGTTAGAACTTGGCTTCCAAAACCAACCAAGCCCTTCCTTACAACAAGGAGGGTGTGCTATTTCTACGTCTTTGAGGCAGCAAAACCTAAAAATGGTTAAGACGGTGCATTCCGGAGCCAGACGGCCCGAGTTAAAATCCCGACTTGGCATTTATCAGCGGGGTGGCCTCGCACAAGGCACGTAGCCTCTGAGAGCCTCAGTTTCCTTCTCTGTCCAGTGGGAAAGTAAGAGTAACGACCCCCCAGCGTTACTGGAAAGGTGAAAGAGCGAAGATGTACAAAAAGCCCGGGGTACGGTAAGTACTCGATACGTGTCCTATTATTAGGACTGTCCCACACCTGCAAAGTGGAAAGGGCATGGGGATCCCGGGGACAGAGGGTTGAAAATGCGCTCAGGGAGGCGAAACAACCCCGCCCGATTTCCCGCAATCCCCTCCGGGAGACGGACCCCCACCCCGCCCCTCACCTGGCCCTGCAGCTCCTTCTCGAGCTGCCGGTAGTCGTTGTTCCAGACTAGGAGGTGCAGGGGGTAGTGGTCGCCGGCGTCGCAGGCCGAGGACATGGCGAGGAGGCCGTAATCGGGCCCTCGCCGCCCGCCCGCCCCAAGTCTCGGCCCCAGCGGGGTCTCAGGCGCCCGCCCGCCTGCCCTGCGGCCGGTGAGTGAGCGAGCCAAGGGCGCGTTACACGGCTGGCCGGCTGAGCGGGTCGGGTGCGGGGCGCGCGGGAGGTTCGGGGTCGCGGGCCGGCTCTGGGACCCGGTCGGCCGCGCCCACCCCGCGCCCCGCGGCGTTCCCGCCCGCGCTGACAGCTCGCGGACCGACTTCTGCGGACCAAACTGCCCCAAACAGGGAAGTGTGGAGAGCGAACCACCGCATGCCGCAGCGGGGGGAGGCGACCTCGGGCACCGGGTCCGGGGTCCGCGCCATTTCACCCACCTCCAGCTCACACCAGGAAACTCACTGCAGCCCACAGAGCAGAGCTGCGGTTAATTCTCTTGGCTGAAGATCTCCACGAGGAAGGTTTGGTCTATCTATCCCCAGCTTCTTTCCCCTGTTCCAGTGGCCCCATGTGGTTCAGTCCACAACTGGGCCTCTTCCATTTGCTCTGCAGCCAGGGGTGACAACTGAGGCCTGGACCAAACCATTCCAGCTGCTGACACCCTTGAATCCTTTTTGGAGCAGGGCAGATGCTTCCACGATGGATCAGAAGCCATTTTGGAAGTGGGCAACACCAGACAATTTTTGAAGGAGGATCTCTAAACCTTGGCGAAGTGGCTTCAAATATAGTATTTGCATAGAAGGGGATATTTCTACTTCATGATTTCTCAACCTCGGCACATTTTGAACTGGGCAGTTTTTGTGTGGGGGTTGTCCGGTCCTTTGCAGGATGCTGAGCAATTTCCCTGGTCTTTCTCCCCACTTAATGCCAGGAGCACCCCCCAAAACATGTCTCTCCAGTTATTGTCAAATGTCCCCTCGGGGAGAAAAATCGTCCTCAGTTGAGAACCGCTGTTCTATTTAAACTCCAAACCAGGCTATGATTCGATGGCTAACTATGGTGGTGATTTAGTCCATGTATGAACATCATTTTTAAGTTAGCTTTTTGGATTTAAGGTTATGGCTGAAAAGACTGATAAATAACACCCATATTTGACCACACTCTGCGAATACGAAGTTTATCCTTTGAGTTTCGGGCACTATGCCTCCTTGACTCAATGGAACCAAATCAACTTACAGCTAGCTACTTGTGGGCTTGCACTTTCTGCTGCTTCTTCAGCTCAGCTGTCTACAACTAGACCACTTAGCTGGGTGAAGCTATTTAATGCATTGTGAAAACATTCCCTCTGCCTTCTGAGTGTATGCACATCCAGCTCTTCCATTGCCTGCAACAACAGCTGTTCAAGAATCCCAGCCTAATCCATTCTCCACAGATGTGGAGCCCAGAAGATTTGTGAGTTGTTAAATCAAAACAGGATGCAGGATCCCCAGTATGGCACCCGGAGACTCTTAACTATGGAATGCATGGGAATTCTGTGATTATTCCTACATCACACATTTAGCAAACTGGAGAGATGGACTCAAGACTAGTGCTTCTGAGGCCTCTACCAGCACTTTTCATTTTATCAGACTTTTGCAACTTAGTCTTCTTCTTTATCATCTCGTTTATTGAACATCTCCCTATCTCATTAATCAGAAAACCCCACAATGACAGGAACCACATCTGTTTTGCTTACCAGGGTACCTAAAACTAAAATAGTACCTGACTCACAACAGGTATCCAATATTTGCTGAAAGGAGATCATAGTTGTATTTATATGTAAGACTGACAATAAGTAATCATTGGTATTAGGGTCACATCTCTTTTCTCCTTCACACTGATTCACTTCATTTCATTGTGTTTATCTCATACCATTCTGTAAATTACCCCAGGTTAGCTATTCTTATTCTCAAATTCCTAGCATATGAAGAAAAACAGTAATTAGAAAATAATAGCAATATCCGTAATTATGGAGCTACTATTAGCTCCATAATGAGGGATTACTATTGAGCAGGTATATCACATTTTTTCCATAATTTATTCCATCTGTCCTTAGCCAGAATGAATGTTTAACTTTGCTGGTCACATACAAGTTTTGTTGCATATTCTTCTTCCTCTTTTTCTTTCTTTTCCTCTCTCCTTCATTTTTATCTCCCAACCCTTTAAAAATGTAAATATCATTTTTAAATAGCAAGCCATACAAAAACGAGTTGTGACTAGAAGTAAACAACACCTTATCTTCATTTTGAAGATGAGGTTAAAACTGAAACCCAAAGAAGGAATCATCTAACATATTCTTTCTTGTTATTGTTTTGGGTTTTTTTTTTTTTGGTTGTTGTTGTCGTTGTTGCTGCTGCTGTTTTTGAGACAGTCTCGCTCTGTCACCCAGGCTGGAATGCAGTGATGTAATTTCTGGTCACTGCAACCTTGGCCTCCCAGACTCAAGCAATTCTCATGCCTCAGCCTCTGGAGTAGCTGGGATTACAGGCATGCGCCACCACACCCGGCTAATTTTTGTATTTCTGTATTTTCACCCTTTTGCCCAGGCTGGTCTCGAACTCTTGGCCTCAAACGATCTGCCTGCCTCAGCCTTCCAAACTGCTGAGATTACAGGAGTGAGCCACAGCGCCCACGCTGGAATCATATAACATATTCTTAGTTTACTTTAGCTACCTCAGTAAAATACAAGCTTCATAAGGACTGGAAATTCAGTCTTTGCTCACTGCTGTTTCTCTAGTGGCTGGGACAATGTATAAAACATGGTAAGTGCTTGATAAATATTTGTTGAATAAAGGAATGAATGAATGAACTTGACCGCTGATTTCCTCAGGAAGGTTGTGGCTCCAGGGTTCTCATCACAAGATATTGCTGCTTCCGCTGGTATTAATCAGTCGGGACGAGGGGAATCTCTGCCAGAGAGGGAGACCCAAATTCAATATTTAAAGGTCGGACAGATGATGCTAGGGCAGTCTACTGCCCTCACTCAAGATGGCGACAAGGCAGTGTGCCCTTTCCGGTCACATGACCTGACAGTCGCAGAAGGGCTCCTCCCCGCGCGTGCGTGCTGTGCCCAGGCTTCAAGGCGCTGAGGGGAGAGGCGCCGCCGCCAGCTGCCCTGCCGCCGCTGGGACCCGTTAGAGCGGAAGCGCCGCCGCCGCCGCCTTTGCTGTCCCGGGGCCTCTAGTTCCCGGCAGGTGGAAAGCGCGAGCCATGTCGAAACGGCTCCGGAGCAGCGAGGTGTGCGCTGACTGCAGCGGGCCGGGTGAGTCGCACCGGCCGGGCCCGCTCCCCTCTGCTTTCCTGGCCGGGACCCCTACCCCGGGGCTGCCCCCTCAGGTCAGGCGGCATCCCGCCGCCAGGCGTCCGCAGCCCGCGGCTGGGGTCGCAACGAAGGGGTCCCGGGGCGGCCTTGGGGCGGGACCCGTCCCGGGCCTGTCAGAGCCTGGCGGGCCGCCGCCCTCCCGGTCCCTCGCGGCCCTCCTTTCCTTCTCGTTCCCTCCGGTTCCCTTGTCCCGTGCCAACTGGGGAGGTGACGGGGGCCAGAGCTGCTCCCCGAACAGGAAGGGGCTTGGGCAATCCACAGGAAAGCCAATTACAGAAGTAAAATGCGAGCGTCCTCCCGGCTGCAGCCTCCAGAGCTGCAGGTGTCACCTCGCACACTAGACCCTCTTTCCGCCTGGGGGCCCTGCCCGGGAAGGGCGACACTCCCTTAGACTCGCCAGAGAGTCCCCATAGATGATTTCCCCGCTCCTGACATCCTGACAGCTACTCCGCTTGGGAGAAGCGCCAGGAGATCTGGGGCTTGCAAACACAACCAGCACTTAAGAGGCAGTGCTTGCCTCAAGTTTGAGGATCTGAACGGCCTGGGTTCAAACTAGATTTTGCTTCTGGGTGACCTTGGGCTGTTGACTTCACTTGGTGACTTGGTTTGATTTCCTCATTTTTTCGATGAGGATAATCGGGAGTGTCACTCTCAGTGGTGAGGAAGAGTCAATGAATACCCGTAGGATCACATCATCTGAAGCTTTTCTTTTTGGTATTATGTTGTTTACCGTAGAACCCTTGCAGTCCCTTAAAACTGGAATTGGCTGTATAAATCATACGTTAATTACAACGGAAACAAACACAAAATCACCAGCAATATAGGAGCATTGAAACGCTAAAACCATTCCTTCATAATGATGTATAACTGTTTATACATAATATTCACATGTAGAGATCAAATGTGTCTTAGCAATTGCAAGTGAATTGACAAGTCTCTGAATAGATTATTACGTGCAATTTTAGGTGCGTGGATGTATTGGCTTTGAGTAATTTGAAGATAGCTTGGCTTTCTTGGCACAATAGTGTCCAGTAAACAATCTTAATTAAATCATTGAACACCACTGGCTTTGCAACTGTTCTGATCTTCAGCTTGTTATTTGGAAGTGGAGACTGATTTTGAATAGAACTGTGATAACTTAAACGTTGCGTGGTTATCTTATGGCCCGTAAAGTGCAGGTGCTGTTACCAATTTCCTTTGAAGATGGGGAGGGGGTGTGGAGGAGTTCAAGAAGTATTTTCTAAACCAAGTTAGTGTGAGTTATACAAACTCCGTCGTTTTTTCTAAAAATGTTATTTGTTCCACTTCCTTATTTTCTTGCTTATTTTCAGTTGAACTTTGATGTGTTTAATTCACGTGTGTCTAGCTTGTAACTTCCTCTTGGAATGCATATTTGTTTGCTTCTTGATGGGGTATGGGTAAAAGCAAAGTTGTTTCTCCATTGCCACCCTAAATATACTTTTGCAGCATTTTGTGCATTTCAGAATATTTTTCTTCCATTGTATCGCTTTAGTTGTTGTCTCATATGCCTACTCTGCAGAGACTTGAGTCACTTCCTTCCTGTTTTGAATATAATTAGGCTACCTTGAAATGCTCTGTGAAATTGAGCAGTTAGGAATTTGTACTGCCTTTTCTGCAAAGCCCTACTGAGAGAATTACCTAGAGGGTTGGAAACCTCTCTTAGATTCTGATGAATGATAAGGCCTTCTCCCCTAAAATGCATGTGAACTTTCTCATTCACACAGAATTTATGTAAGATTTGTCTGGGGGAGTCACAAACATTTTTGAAGTGCATTTGTGGTGTCCCTGGAGCCCTGGCATAAAGCCTCCAGATGAACTTAGAGGGTTTTACCCAATCTTATCATACAAACATAATTTTATTTTACTATGTTAACATTCTAATATTCTTTCCATGGGATTCTGATCCAGGATGCTAAAGTGGTTACTCGAATACCTGTCTTAATTAATATGTGTTAAATTCTTGCTGTCTTTACTTGTTTAATTTCCTCAGGAATACTGCAAATCCTCTGAATGATAAGTGAAAACCAAAGCTGTGCTTCAAAACAGTCTTTTTTTTTTTTTTTTTTTTTTTTTTTGTCATTAATGTTAGTACTATACTTCGGAAAGCAGTGTTGTTATGCATCTTTTTTTTTTTTTTTTTTGGGAGTCAGAGTTTTGCTCTTGTCCAGGCTGGAGTGCAGTGGTGCAATTTCAGCTCACTGCAACCTCTGCCTTTCAGGTTCAAGCGATTCTCCTGCCTCAGCCTCCTGAGTAGCTGTGATTACAGGTGTGCACCACCACGCCCCACTAATATTTGTATTTTTAGTAGAGAATACAGGTTCACCATGTTGGCCAGACTGGTCTCAAACTCCTGACCTCGTGATCCACCTGCCTTGGCCTTCCAAAGTGCTGGGATTACAGGTGTGAGCCACCGCGCCTGGCCTGTTATGTGTTTTTATTGAGCTCTTTCATCTGGGTATTTCCAATCTCTGTTTTTTAGGATGATATAGTAATAGTGACAGTTATACTTCGTTGAATTATCTTGATTCTGCTTTATGGCAAATGTTTAACCATGATCACATCTTCTTAAATATTCTTGTTTTATTTTTTATTGAATCTAGTTCCTTTCAAAGACATCACACTCTGAGTTCAATTACCTGAAAAGTTCATGGAGATTTTCACTACAGTAATATAGTGGTCACATGAAATGTTCAATGTTTTAAGTATTTCCCATCAAAAACTTTTTCCAGTGATCATGAATTTTGTGGACTCTAAAAAATATCTGAATACTGAGAAAATAATTTAGAAAAGATAAAACAGCTAACATTACTGAGAACTTTACTATGTGTGAAGTACTTCATTTACTCTCTATATCCTTACTCTCCTGAGATATGTTATTATTCTTATTTGATCCATGGTGAGAACACTCAAAGAAGTAACTTGTCTGAGATCATTTTGTGAGAAGTGGCAGAGTTGGGGTTCAAACCTTGAACTGTTTGTCTCTGGAGCCAGCCCTCTTAAGCACCACACTCACTGACTCCCAGGATTCATCTTTGATTGAAAGCATATAACTTTTCATTATATGGTTTGAAAGAGTTTCAAAAAACTCCTAAAAAATGGTAAAGATGGTATATATGCATTTTAGAGATTTTTGTGGACATTGAAGAATTTTAAAATGTAACCCTTAGACCAGGCAGCTTAAGTGGCACCTATTGTCACCCCATTATGAGTGTGATGAAATGTAGGTCTTTCTTTATTTGAGGTTTCTAAGTATTCAGTTTACTTACCCAGATCCATCCTGCTTGCCAAGTATGAAATTATTCCTTGTTTCAAGAGACATCTAATGAAGCTCGATGATTTTAAAGGGAAAAAGTGTTATACACACACCAAAAATATTACTCATTTCTATTTTACATCTTTGCCTCTGTGAAGCTGGTGTTATTGCAGCTTCTTTTTTTTCAAATCAGTTGCAGGATTGGATTTGGTAGTTTATATAAAACAATTAATTGGCTGGGCACGGTGGCTCCCGCCTATAATCCCAGCACTTTGGGAGGCTGAGGCAGCAGATCACCTGAGGTCAGGAGTTTGAGACCAGCCTGGCCAACATGGTGAAACCCTGTCTCTACTAAAAATAACAAAAATTAGCTGGGCTGGTGGCACACACATGTAATTCCAGCTACTCAGGAGGCTGAGGCAGGATAATCTCTTGAACCCGGGAGGTGGAGGTTATAGTGAGCCAAAATTGTGCCACCGCACTCCAGCCTAGGGACAGAGCGAGACTGTTTCTCAAAAACAAAACAAAACACCACACAAGAAGCAATTAATGGATATCATAGAACATTTCCTAGTGGAAGAAGCCACGTTTCCCTGTCCTCAGAATCGTAGCAGCTGAGTGATTTTATGATTCTGTAACTTGCAGCTTTCTGCTAAGCATATTGGCATGTTGATTCGTAGCAGTGAATTAGGACAGCAGTCTTTACACCATTTACTGCATAAAATACTATCTGCATAATTCACTGTCGAAATTATATTATCTTGGCCAGGCACAGTGTCTCACGCCTATAATCCCAGCACTTTGGGAGGCCAAAGTGGACAGATCACCTGGGGTCAGGAGTTCAAGACCAACCTGGCCATGAATCCCCATCTCTGCTAAAAATACAAAAATTAGCCAAGCATGGTGGTGCACACCTGTAATCCCAGCTACTGGGGAGGCTGAGGCAGGAGAATCACTTGAACCTGGAAGGCAGAAGTTGTAGTGAGCCAAGATCGTGCCACTATACTCCAGCCTGGGTTACAGAATGAGACTCAGTCTCAAAAAAGAAAAATTGTATTATCTTGGTGTTTATGGAGATGGATCCGAAATCATTCATCTGTACCCTCTCAATTTGCTTTTGTTAGTTTGAATGAAAGAGCATGCATCTGAAATGGTAGATACACATTAGGGTTACAAACTGTGGCCCTGAATCAGTAAGAAAATAACTGCTTACCCTCGGCTCCCACTCACGTTTTTAGTCTCAATTAATATTGTACTTAATCAGGCAAGGTAGGTCGTAACATCCAACAAGATCACGAGCTCAATGCATTGAAGAGCATACTGAAACAAAAATGGCTCCTTTTTCTGACAAACCACACCTCAGTCGTCTTTCGCCATCTGGCAGTATAGCAACCCGCTGGTATTCCTGCCACTGAGATTTCACTCTCTTTCCAGATCCTTCCTGGGCATCAGTAAATAGGGGAACATTTATATGTGATGAGTGCTGCAGTGTCCATCGGAGTCTAGGGCGCCATATCTCCCAAGTGAGGCATCTGAAACACACACCATGGCCTCCAACACTGCTTCAGGTAAAGGATAAGAAGAATTCTCCTGACGGTTGGTAGGACTCATCTTGCTAACAACTAAAATTTCTCCTGGTATACTTCTTCCGTAAGACAAAACTGTTTCATAATTGAATAGAGATGCCATGCCCATCAATATGTTTATAAATATTATCTGTATTGAATTCATCATTTAAGACTTTTCTTCCTACCTGACATAAATCTTGTCCAGACACCTCAATTATAGGTAGATAGATGGATAGTCATTAAAATACCTTGGCAATGTTGCACTGTTGACTTTCTAGACTGTCACCAGAATTTTTTTTTTTTTTTTTTTTTTTTTAGGCAGAGTCTCACTTTGTTGTACAGGCTGGAGTGCAGTGGTGCAATCTCAGTTCACTGCAACCTCCGCCTCCTGGGTACAAGCAATTCTCCTGCCTCAGGCTCTTAAGTAGCTGGAATTACAGGTGTGCACCACCATGCCCAGCTAATTTTTTGTATTTTTAGTAGAGGTGGGGTTTCACCATGTTGGTCAGGCTGGTCTGGAACTTTTGAACTCAAGTGATCTGCCCACCTCAGCCTCTCAAAGTGCTGAGATTACAGGCGAGAGCCACCATGCACGGCCAAGAAACTGTTTTTAAGTAGTCCATCTTTTCTGTGCATGATAATTAATGTTTCTGAAAGCTACTGCCTGAGAAACTTTTCTTTAATGTACTTATTCCTGAATACCTGCTAATATTTTTTAAATATGCTTTTCTGCTTTGTTAACAGCATGGGCTGGGATTCCTCAGAAATTTCTGAAACATTTTAAGTGTTCTTGAAGTTCTTGTTACTAGTCCGAGAGACTAAATTAAATTAACATGTTTTTATTGGATGTCAAATACCCTGTTAAATGGGCTGTTATATTTGGAGTCCAGTGTCACGTCACCTTTACTTCTATTTTGGAGTACACATTCTTCAAGTTTCTCTTGGAACTCAAGGTTAAATGTATGTTTTGCCTTCATTTATCTTGATTAAAACATGGCACTGAATCTATGACAGCTGTACATATCCCTTAAACTTGCCTGTGTAACCCAAGGAGCCAAAATAAGTGAGTTTGGATCTCCGATGTGAAAATAACTACACTGCTGTAAAAAAGCAGATGGGGCTGTTTTAGGAGTCATGCCTTGAAATGAAACTGGGAGATATGCTTTATTACTAACTTTTGCCTAGAAGTTTCTAAGAGCTCAGGCTCATGTGAAAGGGGCTATTACTGCTTTCTGATCTGTGTTTACAAAGCCAGATTGTATTACTGAATCTCAGTATAAGTCCAGAGATGAGTAGTTTGGAATGCCAGAGTTGACCCTAAAGCAACAATTTCCCAAGTGTGGAACCACCAGTGGTATGCAAGACAGATGTAGGTAATACATGTTTTTTTAATGGTTGCCTTGTTTTACTATGTATAGGCAAACTATAACTAGCACATCAAACCGTTGTTGTTTTTAAAAGTAAGTGGCTTTAAAGATAAATATTAAGTGAATAGTACAGACAGTACATGGGTTGTTAAGAATCTTGAAAATAGTGTTTAATTAGGTTTGGGAGACCCTGCTCTAACATGTCAAAGTACTTTTCTTTCATACTGTATTAGAACAATTCAGAAATACTTTTTTCTTTTCCAGACACACTTCTTTAGGTACTTAACTATCCTACTGGTCAAACCTGAATCCTGCGTACAGATTGATCATCTTTCTCATTCTCAAATCAGTAAACTGATATGAATGATATTCCTAACACAGTGTTTATAGTAGGGCTTTGTTTACCCTCTTCAGTCACTGATCCCCATTGAATATTTGTGGAAAGAAATTAAAGTCTTATATCATCCTGCTTGATTTTAGATGGTTGAGACCTTGTATAATAATGGTGCTAACTCTATATGGGAGCATTCTTTGCTGGACCCCGCGTCTATTATGAGTGGAAGACGTAAAGCTAATCCACAGGATAAAGTACAGTGAGTGGAATGTTTATAAATACTTTTATTTCTTCATAACAAATGGGGCCCACTGAAAGGAGTGCAGCTATTTTTGGTCAGCCTTCACAAAGTCAGCACAGGAGGGGGTTACCCCAGTTCTGCATCAGGCTCTTTGCTATTAGAAATGCAGAATGGGGCGGGGCAGGACCATCTGTTTAGCATGGCTACCCAGCAGGAATAAGTGGCTTCCTCAGTTGGAAACCATGGCTTGGAGGCTGTAAATGTAATCAGATTTAAACTTATGCTCAAATAAGAGGCAATCAGACCAGAAATCTAGGTCTGGGCACCTGTCTGCCTGTTGCCTCACCTATAAAATGGGACTAAAATGCTGCTTTCTCCCAAAGTTGCTCGGTTAGTTAGGCAGTTAGAAAAGAGAGCCACTATAGAAAGCAGGTAGGTACTCTGCAGTCCCAGCCATTATAATGAGTAATGCATGTTTTCAGACCTCAGGTCTTAAACCTTGCTTAAGCTTCCTTGAACATTGTTCATTTTATTATCAGTGGGGGATGTGGGTCACTTCCTCCTCTTTTTACATTACAAAGAATGGGGATTGTCGTATCTGAACTAGTGAACTGTTTTCTTTTTTGTTTTTGAACCAGTCCCAATAAAGCAGAATTCATCAGAGCCAAGTATCAGATGTTAGCATTTGTCCATCGCTTGCCCTGCCGGGATGACGATAGTGTAACTGCCAAAGATCTTAGCAAGGTGGGTCGCACCTTTCAAAATCCCTAAAAGAGCTGGCCGAGGCAGCATACTGTTTTATTTGGGGGGGCAAAAGATTTGGTTGTGGTTTTTTTGTTGTTTTTGTTGTGAGACAGGTCTTGCTCTCTTGCCCATGCTGGAGTGCAGTGGTACGATCGTGTTCACTGCAGCCTCAACCACCCAGGCTCAAGCCGTCCTCCCGCCTCAGCCTCCCAAGTAGCTAGAACTACAGGCACATTACCACACCCAGCTAATATTTTTTATTTTTCATAGAAACGGGTTCTTGCTATGTTGCCCAGGCTGAAAAAGTTTTTAAATAAAGGAAAACAAAATTTCTGCACATTAAGTAATTAATAGCTTTTTTTCAATTGGTTTATCTTTACTCTGAATTCAGCTGGCAGCCATTCATGTAGTGGAGGTAAAGGGCAAAGAAGAAAAGTAAGTCTCTGGAAAGCTATTTGTGTTTTTGTTTGATTAACTTTGAAACAGGAACCATCTCAGAGTTGTTTCTAGAAGAGACAAGAAAGTTTATAGGACAATTGTTTCTTTCTAATAAGGACTAGAAAAAGTATTCAAGAAAGAGGGCTTACTTCTTCAGTTTTCCAGGTTGAACAGTGGGTATGATCTTCAGAAAGCAATGTATGACTCAAAGCTATAGTACACAGAATGGTTTATCATACTTATAAAATGAGTGGGGTGGTTGTCTTTCCGTGGGCCTTTGCATGTTTTTAAGAGATGCTATAAGAAATGTGCATATTTATTTTCAAAGGATTGCCTTGGTTAAATGCTTACTCACACAGAGCATGAGGATTTACTCTTCAGATTTTTTTATTACTACTTTTTGGCCAGGTGCAGGGGCTCACCCCTGTAATCCCGGCACCTTGGGAGACTGAGGCAGGCAGCTCACTTGAGCTCAGGAGTTCAAGACCAGCCTGGGCAACATGGTGAAACCCCATCTCTACAAAAAATACAAATATTAGCCAGGCATGGTAACACGCACCTGTAGCTACCTGGGAGGCTGGGGTGGGAGGATGGCTTGAGCCCAGGAGGCAGAGGTTGCAGTGAGCTGAGATTACAACACTGCACTCCAGCCTGCGCAACAGAGCAAGAACTTGTCTCAAAAAATGAAAAGAAAACTTTTTCTGCATCTATTGAGATGATCATGTGGTTTTTGCTTTTGCTTCTGTTTATGGGGTAAATCACATTTATTGATTTGTATATGTTGAGCCAGCCTTGAATGTCAGCAAAAAAAAAAGCCTACTTAATCATGGTAGATTAACTTTTTTTTTTTTTTTTTTTTTTGAGACGGAGTTTCGCTCTTGTTACCCAGGCTGGAGTGCAATGGCGCGATCTCGGCTCACCACAACCTCTGCCTCCTGGGTTCAGGCAATTCTCTTGCCTCAGCCTCCTCAGTAGCTGGGATTACAGGCACGCGCCACCACGTCCAGCTAATTTTTTGTATTTTCAGTAGAGACGGGGTTTCACCATGTTGACCAGGTTGGTCTCGATCTCTTGACCTCGTGATCCACCCGCCTCGGCCTCCCAAAGTGCTGGGATTACAGGCTTGAGCCACCGCGCCCGGCCTAGGTTAACTTTTGATGTGCTGCTAGATTCTGTTTGCTAATACTTTGTTGAGAGTTGTTTTTTTTTTTTTTTTTTTTAATTTGTGTTCATCATGGATTTTGGCCTGAAGTTGTCCTTTTTTGTTGTATGTCTGCCAGATTTTGGTATCAGGCTGATGCTGGCTTCACAGAATGAGTTAGGGAGGAGCCCCTCCTCTTTGATTGTTTGAAATAATTTCAGTAGGATGTTAGTTCTTCTTTGGTAGAATTCAGCTGTGACTCTCTTGAGCTAGGGAGATGGAGGTTGCAGTGAGCCACACCACAGCACTCCAGCCTGAAAGACAGAGTGAGACTTTGTATCAAAGAAAAGAAAATTTTTTAAATTACTTTTTAAGGGGTTTGTTTTGCTTTGTTTTGTTTGAGACAGGATCTCACTCTGTTGCCCAGGCTGGAGTGTAGTGGCACAATTATGGCTGACTGCAGCCTCAACCTCTCCAGACTCAAATGATTCTCTCATCTCAGCCTCTCAAGTGGCTGGGATCACAGATATGTGTCACCAAGCCAGGCTAATTTTTGTATTTTTTTGTACAGATGGGGTTTTACCATGTTGTCCAGACTGATCTCAAATTCTTGGTCTCAAGCGATATGCCTGCCTTGGCCTCCCAAAATGCTGGGATTACAGACATGAGCCACTGCATCTGGCCTTTGTTTTTTCTTTTTTAATCTCCAGCAGAATCTGGCTAAAGAATTTAGAATTTGACATTTTGTGTAAAAATGCATATACTTATTACTTCCATTGATTAATGAGACTTGGTATGTATTAGGTTTTTTTTTTTTCTTAACAAAGTTTTAAGAATTACTCAGGCACAGTGGCACATGCCTGTAGCAGTAGCTACTTGGGAAGCTGAGGTGGGAGGGTTGCTTGAGCCCAGGAGTTCAGTCCTGCCAGGGCAACATAATGAGACCCTGTGTTTAAAAAACCAAAACTATTTTAAAAAGTAAACAAAACTTAGAAATAGATGTTAGAGTAGATTTCTTCATTCCTGTGATAAGGGTTACTGCATCTTGGACAATTCTAGGTTAGATTTGAAGGAAGGCGGCTCATCTTCTGAATGTTTAAGAGATTTTCTGCAGTAATACAGAATTCAGTATATCACAGACCTTTTCCCACCCTGAAAGACTTTATTAAAGTATATTATACAGGCCAAGAATAATGTGGTAGAGAGGGTATGGTATAAGGCAGGATCCTATAGCTTACATAGTGTAGAATTTGAAGTCCTAAAGCCCTAATTACAGTAACTACTACTAATAATAACTGTTACTATTACAGCATTTGTATTCTTTGAGCACTTTATTATATCACTAATTCCTTATAACCCTGTAAATAGGGCTGGGCCTAGTAGCGCATGCCTGTAATCCCAACACTTTGGGAGGCCAAGTTGGGAGGATTACTTAAGCTCCTAAGTTCAAGACCAGCCTGGGCAGCATAGTGAGACCTTACCTGTATTGAAAAATAAAAAATTAGCAGGACATGGTGGCTGGCGCCTGTAGTTCTAGCTGTTCAGGAGGCTGAGGTGGGAGGATTGCTTGAGCCCATGATACTGAGGCTATAGTAAGCCATGATTGTTCCACTGCATTCCAGCCTGGATAACAAAGCAAGCCAGACCCTTTCTTTTTTAAAAAAGAAAAACACCGGCCGGGCGCGGTGGCTCAAGCCTGTAATCCCAGCACTTTGGGAGGCCGAGGCGGGTGGATCACAAGGTCAAGAGATCGAGACCATCTTGGTCAACATGGTGAAACCCCGTCTCTACTAAAAAATACAAAAAAAACTAGCTGGGCATGGTGGTACGTGCCTGTAATCCCAGCTACTCAGGAGGCTGAGGCAGGAGAATTGCCTGAACCCAGGAGGCGGAGGTTGCAGTGAGCCGAGATCGCGCCATTGCACTCCAGCCTGGGTAACAAGAGCGAAACCCCGTCAAAAAAAAAAAGAAAAATACCACCTTTTATTTAAAAAAAATTTTTTTTTGAGACAGGGTGTTGCTCTGTCACCCAGGCTAGAGTACAGTGGCATGATCATAGCTCACTGCAGCCTCCACTTCCCAGGATCAGGTCATCCTCCCACCTCAGCCTCCCTAGTTGCTGGGACTGCAAGTGTGTGCCACCACACCCAACTAATTTTTCTATTTTTTCTAGAGCCAGGGTCTTGCTATGCTCCCCAGGCTAGTCTCAAACCCCTGGGCTCAAGTGTTCCTTCCACCTTGACCCTGCAAAGTGCTAGGATTACAGGCATGAGCACTGCATCCTACCATTGTTGACATTTTTGAGATGAGGAAAGTGAGGTTCAGATTATTATTATTTTTTTTTTTTTGAGGCAGAGTTTCGCTCGTTACCCAGGCTGGAGTGCAATGGCGCGATCTCGGCTCACCACAACCTCTGCCTTCCGGGTTCAGGCAATTCTCCTGCCTCAGCCTCCTGAGTAGCTGGGATCACAGGCACGCGCCACCATGCCCAGCTAATGTTTTGTATTTTTAGTAGAGACGGGGTTTCACCATGTTGACCACGTTGGTCTCGATCTCTTGACCTCGTGATCCACCCGCCTCGGCCTCCCAAAGTGCTGGGATTACAGGCTTGAGCCACCATGCCTGGCCGAGGTTCAGATTATTTAAAGAACTTTCTCAAGGTCACACAGCTTGAAGTGGGTATAGTTTGAAATTAAGGTCTATCAGACGTCAGAGCCACACACAGTCACCTCTTCACACAGTCCTGCCTCTCACTCAGGTTCTGGTTTTGCCACTTCTTAGACAAGTCATGCATTTGGGCAGGTCAGGCTTCACAGCCCTAGTTTCCTTATCAGTAAAGTGGCCTGACCCCACCTTAGAGTCCAGGGACGGTTGTGACTGGCAAAGGAGAGACTAGTCCATGCACTTTACTGAGACAAATAATTATGTGTTACTGATGTAATGTATATTAAAATGGTCTGTCAGCTGCCCTAGGACATCATTCTTTATGTCTCTAACCACGATTTCTTTTTTGTTTGTGTGTTTTTCAGCAACTCCATTCAAGCGTGAGAACAGGGAATCTTGAAACCTGTTTGAGACTGTTATCTTTAGGAGCACAAGCCAACTTCTTTCATCCTGTAAGAAATCATGAATTGCTTCAGATGTTGAAACTAAGTGAGTTGTGTTTGTGTAGCCTTTAGTTTATTTAATGTGCTCTTTTGTCTACTTTTTATTTATGATTCTTAGGAAAAAGGAAACACCCCACTCCATGTTGCCTCCAAGGCAGGGCAGATTTTACAGGCTGAATTATTGGCAGTATATGGAGCAGACCCAGGCACACAGGATTCTAGTGGGAAAACTCCTGTTGATTATGCAAGGTAAGAGACCTACATTCTTACTACTTCTCTCTGAGATTTTTTGGTTGGGTATGATTCCTTGTTGGGTAGCTAAATTGTGTATGTTAACATTTAATCCTGGCCGGGCACGGTGGCTCAAGCCTGTAATCCCAGCACTTTGGGAGGCCGAGGCGGGTGGATCACAAGGTCGAGAGATCGAGACCATCCTGGTCAACATGGTGAAACCCCGTCTCTACTAAAAATACAAAAAATTAGCTGGGCATGGTGGCGTGTGCCTGTAATCCCAGCTACTCAGGAGGCTGAGGCAGGAGGATTGCTTGAACCCAGGAGGCAGAGGTTGTGGTGAGCCGAGATCGTGCCATTGCACTCCAGCCTGGGTAACAAGAGCGAAACTCCATCTCAAAAAAAAAAAAAAAAAAAAAAACATTTAATCCCTTTAAAGATTTATCTCATTTTATTTATTTAATTTTATTAATTTTTTGAGATGGAGTTTTGCTCTTGTCACCCAGGCTAGAGTACAATGGCGTGATCTCAGGTCACTGCAACCTCTGCCTCCTGAGTTCAAGCTATTCTCCTGCCTCAGCCTCTGGAGTAGTTTGGATTATAGGTGCCCCCCACCATACCTGGCTAATTTTATATATTTTTAGTAGGGATAGGGTTTCACCGTGTTGGTCAGGCTGGTCTTGAACTGCTGACCTCAGATGATCCTCCCACCTTCGCTTTCCAAAGTGCTGGGATTACAGGTGTGAGCCACTGTGCCCGGCCTACGTCATTTTATTTTACAGATGAATACATTCCAAACACATATAAGCTCAGCTTGACAAAGTTGAGGCAGGCTAGAATCATGAACCAGCATGCTAAACTTCCAGTCTTTCACTTGATCCTTTATGATGCAGTGGTATTTGAGCTGTAGTTAGATTCCAAATCAACTATCAAGAATTATAGAATGCAGTCTTCAATTTTTTTTTTTTTTTTTTTTTTTTTTTTTTTTTTTTTTTGAGACAGAGTTTCGCTTTTGTTGCTCAGGCTGGAGTGCAATGGCACAATCTCGGCTCACTGCAACCTCCGCTTCCTGGGTTCAAGGGAGTCTCCTGCCTCAGCATCCTGAATAGCTGGGATTACAGACATGTGCCATCATGCCCAGTTAATTTTGTATTTTTAGTAGAGACGGGTCTTCTCCATGTTGATCAGGCTGGTCTCAAACTCCCAACCTCAGGTGATCTGCCCGCCTTGGCCTCTTGGTACTGGGATTACAGGTGTGGGCCACCGCTCCCAGCCACTCTTCAATTTTTAATACTCTTAGTTATTGCTTGAACTTAAAAGCAAATCTATACATAGCTATGTGATTAAACAAGTATAGTAAAATGTTAATTGTAAGGTTGGGGTAGTAGACATCTAAGTGCTCACTCTAGGCCAGGCGCAGTGGCTCACACCTGTAATCCCAGCACTTTGAGGGTCCAATACAGATGAGTTACTTGAAACCAGAAGTCCAAGACCAGCCTGGCCAACATGGTGAAACCCTGTCTCTACTAAAAATACAAAAAAAATTGGCCAGACATGGTGGCAGGTGCCTGTAATCCTGCTGCTTGGGAGGCTGAGGTGGGATAATCACTTGAACCTGGGAGGCAGAGGTTGCCATAAGCCAAGATCATGCCACCGAGCTCCACTCCAGCCTGATAACAGAGCAAGACTCTGTCTCCAATTAAAAAAAAAAAATGCTCACTGTAAAATTCTTTGTTTTTCTTTATTATCAATAAAGTCTTTGAAAAAAAATCTATAGGTTAGTCTTGAATATCGCTTATTTTATTATTTATTTTTGAGACAGAGTTTTGCTCTTGTTGCCCAGGCTGGAATGCAGTGGCGCAATCTCAGCTCACCACAACCGCTGCCTCCTTGGTTCAAGTGATTCTTCTGCCTCAGCCTCCGGAGTAGCTGGGATGACAGGCATGCGCCACCATGCCCAGCTAATTTTGTATTTTTAGTAGAGACACGGTTTCTCCTTGTTGGTCAGGCTGGTCTCAAACTCCCGACCTCAGGTGATCCACCTGACTCGGCCTTCCAAAGTGCTGGTATTACAGACGTGAGCCACTGAGCGCAGCCTTGAATATAATTTAAATAACCAAAAATCAATCATCTTTCCTTCTTTTTCCAAATTACCTTTATTTACTGTGAAGCACAATACTCTGCTTCACAGAGGATAAAATGGGTGAATAACAAAACTCTGCCTTCCCAGAATTTACTCTCTGGGAAAAGATGATTAATAAATGCCTGAAAGAGTTCAAGGAGGCAAGACCGTATGTGATTCATTGCCTAAATGGATAATTGGTCTTAAAAAACATATATAGGGTTTCTTCATTGTGGTCTAAATCATTTAAGAAATTTCTTCAGCTGATCTTGAAGAATGGGTTTGATTTGAGTGTGTGAAGGAGGTGCTAAAGCATTCCAGGTAGGAGAAAAGGCAGGAGTCAAGATCAGGATGCAGGGAGGGACAAAGCATGTTCAGCACAGCAGGAGACCTGACTGGAAAGAACAGAGTGGATTTGGGAATAACAGCAGGAGTATAGTATTGCGCAGTGCTTCATTATTTCACATAGCGCTAAAAAGAAAAGAGCCCAGCCAGTTACATTATGGTGCATCATCAATTGTAGGATATTTCCTGATTTCACAGATATTAAAAAATGAAAGAATAAGATGTGCCTCTCACAACTCAAAGCTGTGTGGTAGGTTGGAGGGTGTTGTGAGTGCATTGCATGGTGGGAAGTGAAGCTGGCTGAAACTATCAGGTTGGTGCAAAAGTAATTGCAGTTTTTGCCATTACTTTTTTTTTTTTTTTTTTTTTTTTGAGACGGAGTTTCGCTCTTGTTACCCAGGCTGGAGTGCAATGGCGCGATCTCGGCTCACCGCAACCTCCACCCCCTGGGTTCAGGCAATTCTCCTGCTTCAGCCTCCTGAGTAGCTGGGATTACAGGCAGGCGCCACCATGCCCAGCTAATTTTTTGTATTTTTTGTAGAGACGGGGTTTCATCATGTTGACCAGGATGGTCTCGATCTCTTGACCTTGTGATCCTCCCGCCTCGGCTTCCCAAAGTGCTGGGATTACAGGCTTGAGCCACCGCGCCCGGCCTTGCCATTACTTTTAAGGACAAAAACCACAAAATATACTTGATCTTGGAAGAGAGCCCTGGATAAGTGGTATTTATTATCACTTACCTTAGAATTTTCATAGTTGTACCTTGCATATAATATCATTATAATTTGTTTGTATGCCTTGTTACTAAAAGAATTCTAAGTGGCCTAAATATTTATTTCATGGATATTGAAAGGTAAACTTAATATTTTCTGTTATGCAATTGAAGATAAGTCCTCACTGATTCAGAATTTCCAAGGTAGGGCCTGCACATTATATATTTCTAGAAACATGCTAGTTAATTTTTGAGACCCTCTATGCTAAACCATTGATTAATTTAATTTTTTTTACCTCATTAGATAAGTCATTCTTTATCCTTCCCTCTCATAAGTCTTTGAATTTCTTATTAAGTATTCCATTTTGTGCCTTAATAAAGGAAAGGGGGAGGCCAGGTGCGGTGGCTCAAGCCTGTAATCCCAGCACTTTGGGAGGCCGAGGCGGGTGGATCACAAGGTTGAGAGATCAAGACCATCCTTGTCAACATGGTGAAACCCCGTCTCTACTAAAAATACAAAAAATTATTGCCAGGCGCGGTGGCTCAAGCCTGTAATCCCAGCACTTTGGGAGGCCGAGGCGGGTGGATCACAAGGTGGAGAGATCGAGACCAACCTGGTCAACATGTTGAAACCCTGTCTCTACTAAAAATACAAAAAATTAGCTGGGCATGGTGGCGCGTGCCTGTAATCCCAGCTACTCAGGAGGCTGAGGCAGGAGAATTGCCTGAACCCAGGAGATGGAGGTTGCGGTGAGCCGAGATCGCGCCATTGTACTCCAGCCTGGGTAACAAGAGCGAAACTCCATCTCAAAAAAAAAAAAAATACAAAAAATTGGCTGGGCATGGTGGCGCGTGCCTGTAATCCCAGCCGCTCAGGAGGCTGAGGCAGGAGAATTGCCTGAACCCAGGAGGCAGAGGTTGCGGTGAGCCGAGATCGCGCCATTGCACTCCAGCCTGGGTAACAAGAGCAAAACTCCGCCTCAAAAAAAAAATAAAATATAAAAATAAATAAAGGAAAGGGGATAGTTCAGATGGTGAAAACAGTTTATAAAAGTGGGATGTAAAGTAGACTTCAGAAATCTACCTTCATAGCAAGGTTGATTATCCTAAAAAGCCTTGTGTGATAAACTGCTCAGGTGTCTTAGGAGACATCTTTTCTTTTTCTTTTTCTTTTTTTTCTTTTCTCTTTTATTACCTATTCAGAGAATAAGGAGACGTCTTTGTATTTCTCTGTTTTAAAGCCAGTGAATAGTGAGCAATATAAATGGTACTTTGTTTTCTTTTGGTAGGCAAGGAGGGCACCATGAGTTGGCAGAGCGCCTTGTGGAAATACAGTATGAGCTGACAGACAGACTAGCCTTCTATCTCTGTGGCAGGAAACCAGGTGAGTGGACAGAGAATGACCTCTCCATGTCTGCAGTCAGGAAAGTTCTAAAAAAACAAGTTGGCTGTGTGCTAATGTTAAGGCTTGTGTAAAACAAAAAAAAAGAAAAACAAGTTGGAACACTGTTTTCTATGACCTCCTCTGCTTTAACGTATCCCTGAGAAAGCTGTGAATATGGGTTTTAATTTGAAAGGATAACTGCAGAATTGTCAGTTACATGTAAAAGATGAAAGTTGGAGAAATATCTTTGGATTTTTCATTTTTAAAACTTTAGCTCTAGAGAAATGACTTTCAAGAATCAGATTGAATAATCGAAGCAAAATTGAATGTGTACCACAGTTCCTAAACATGGTGGGACTAGGAATGCAGGAGCAAAGCAATAACCTTTTAAATGGAAAAAAAAGTCCAGAAGTATGCTTTGCCATTAGCCAACTAAAACTCTAGCCTGTTGCCTGTTTTATTAAATAGAGTTTTGGATCATGCCACTGCACTTCAGCCTGGGTAACAGAGTGAGACTCTGTCTCAAAAAAGTAAATAAAAATAGGCCAGGCATGGTGGCTCATGCCTGCAATCCCAGCACTTTGGGAGGCCAAGGTGGGCAGATCGTGAGGTCAGGAGATAGAGACCATTCTGGCTAATGTGGTAAAACCCCATCTCTACTAAAAATACAAAAAATCAGCCAGGCATGGTGGCACGTACCTGTAGTCCCAGCTCGGGAAGCTGAGGCAAGAGAGGCACTTGAACTGGGGAGGTGGAGGTTATAGTGAGCTGAGATCACACTACTGCACTCCAGCCTGGGTGACAGAGCAAAACTCTGTCTCAAAAAAATCAAAAAAATAAATACGTAAAGCTTTGACTGAGTGCAGTGGCTCTTGTCTGTAATCCTAGCACTTTGGGAGGCTGAGGCAGGAGGATCACTTGAGCCCAGGAGTTCGAGACCAACCTGGGCAAGAGGGGTGAGACCCAATCTCTACAAAAAGTTTTTTTAAAAAATTAGCCAGGCATGGTGGTGTGAACCAGTAGTCCCAGCTACTTGGGAGGCTGAGGCAGAAAGATCACTGAACCCAGGAATTCAACACAGCAGTGAGCTATGATTGTGCCACTGGACTCCAGCCTGGGTGCAGTGACAAAGCTAGGCCCCCATCTCTCTAAAAAATAAATGAATAAAGTTTTATTGCAAGAAAGCCATGCCCAATTATTTGTATCTTGTGTGTGGCTGCTTTCACATAACAATAGCAGAGTTGAATAGGTTTAGCTTTTGCAACAGAGGCCAGATAGCCACAAAGTCTAAAGTATTTACCATTTGGCCCTTTACAGAAAATACTGGCCAACTCCTGATGTACCACTTTTACATACATGTATGGCAGTGGTTCTCCATCCTGGTTGTACAATAGAGTTAAGAGCCTCTGGTGTAGTTTCAGTTCTGGGTGAGATGGAGTAAGCACACCCCACCCTCCTGCTAAATAGAACTAACAAACCTGGGCCAAATGCTTGGATTGGCTAGCTAAGGACTCTGAAAAGTAAATTCGAGTTGGTGGATTAGTGAAGTCAAAGTGCCATCAAGCTGGTGGTGAGTGTCCTCTTCGTCTTAATTGTGATAGAACTTTATTGACAGCCTGAAACCTGGAAGTGCGTAATGAATGCAAAAAACTCTTTTTTTCTGCTGGGCACGGTGGCTCACTCCCATAATCCCAGCACTTTGGGAGACCAAGGTGGGTGGATTATGAGGTCAGGAGATTGAGACCATCCTGGCCAACATGGTGAAACCCCACCTCTACCAAAAATACAAAAAAATATAGCTGGGTGTGGTGGTGGGCACCTGTAATTCCAACTACTTGGGAGGCTGAGGCAGGAGAATCACTTGAACACGGGAGGCGGAGGTTGCAGTGATCTAAGATTGCGACCCTGCGTGCCAGCCTGGGTGACAGAACAAGACTCCGTCTTAAAAAAAAAAAAAAAAAAAAAAAAAAAAAAAAGCTTTTTTCTGGTTAAAGAGCAGGAAATGGGACTCCTACAGGACAGAGAGGAAGGGGATTTACCTGGGGTTTTTTCCTCCTCCTCCTTCGTTTTTCTGATCTCTCTAACCCAGCCCATAGGCAAGCCTGTGGCTGCAATAGCAGCTGCAGCAGTGGCAGTACAGCTTCCTAAATCTCTGACCCAGGAGGATGAGGGGAGATCCTGATTGCTTTTCTTTTTCTATTTTCTCACCTTCTGCTCAGGAGGCAGAACCTAACCTGGTCAGTTGCCTGCTAAGACAAAAATGTTAACATTCTGCATAAAGAAGACCCAGAGTCTTAAAACATAACATTCACAATATCTAAGATACCATCCATAATGACTTGACATACGAGTAATTCTCATGTACTTGTAAGGGAAGGCAATCAACAGATAACAACCCCAAGATGACACAATGTTGAAGTTATCAGATAAAGATTTTAAAGCAGGTAGTAAGACCATGCTGTAAGAAGTAAGAGCAAACATTCTTGAAACAAACAGAAATATAGAAAATCCTATCAGGGAAATCAAAGTTACAGAAGAGAACCAAATAGGAACTTAGAACTGAAAAATACAATAACTAAAAAATTTTAAACTCACTGGATGGGCTTAATAGAATAGAGATGACAAAGAGAAGTCAATAAATTGAAAATAGATCACTAGAAATTAATTGATTTAAGCAACAGAGAAAAAAAGTAGGAAGAAAAAAAACTGAACAGAGCCTCAGAGACCTGTTATACTAGGTAAAATACTAGAATGTCTGGCATTTATGTCATTGGATTCCCAATAAGAGATGAGAAAGAGTGTGGTATGCAGAAAAAGTATTTAAAGAAATATTGCAAAAAAAAACCCTCTGAATTTGGGCCGGGCCTGGTGGCTCATGCCTGTAATCTCCTAACTTTGGGAGGCCAAGGAGGGTGGATCATTTGAGGTCAGTAGTTTGAGACTAACCTGGCCAACGTGGTGAGACTCCATCTTTACTAAAATTATAAAAATTAGTTGGGCATGGTGGTGCGCACCTATAATCCCAGCTACTCAGGTGGCTGAGGCAGGAAAATCGCCTAAACCCTGGGAGGTGGAGGTTGTACTGAGCCCAGATGGTACCACTGCACTTAACTTGGGCAACACAGCAAGACTCTGTCTCAAAAACAAAAAAACAAAAAACAAAATAACCGCCAGTAACTCTAAATTTGGTGAAAGACATAAACTTACAGATTCAAGAAACTTAGCAAATTCCAAAGAGGATAAACTCAAATCCACACTTGAGACACATCAGAACCAAACTACTGAAAACTAAAGTTGAAGAAAAGGTCTTGAAAGCAGCCAGGAAAAAGTGGCATGTAACATATATAGAAAAACAGTGATTTGAATGATTGCAGATATCTCATCAGAAACCATGGAGATGAGAAGGAAATTAAATAATACTTTTATTATTATTACTATTATTATTTTGAGACAGGGTCTTACTCCATCTCGTAGGCTGGAATGCAGTGGCATGATCTCGACTAACTGCAGCCTCAGCCTCCTGAGCTCCATGATCCTCCCACCTCACTACCCACAGTAGCTGGGACTACAGATGTGCACGCCACTGTGCCCAGATAATTTTTGTATTTTTTATAGAGATAGGGTTTACGTTGTTGCACAGGCTGGTCTTGAATTCCTGAGCTCAAGTAATCCGCCCACCTTGGCCTCCCAATGTGATAAGATTACAGGTATGAGCCACCATTTCTGACCTACTTTTTTATTATCATTTTTTTCTTGTCTTCTTTGTGATGGTAAAAGCAATACTTTTATTTTTTATTTATTTATTTATTTTTGAGATGGAATTTTACTCCTGTTGCCCAGGCTGGACTGCAATGGCACAATCTTGGCTCACCGCAACCTCTGCCTCCTGGGCTCAAGTGATTCTCCCACCTCAGCCTCCCGAGCAGCTGGAATAGCTGGGATTACAGGCATGCACTACCAAGCCTGCCTAATTTTCTGTTTTCAGTAGAGACGGGGTTTCTCCATGTTAATCAGGCTGGTCTCGAACTCCTGATCTCAGGTGATCTGCCCACCTCAGCCTCCCGAAGTGCTGGGTTTACAGGCATGAGCCACCATGCCTGACCAGTAGAAACAATACTTTTAAAGTGCTAAAAGGCCGGGCGTGGTGGCTCAAGCCTGTAATCCCAGCACTTTGGGAGGCCGAGGCGGGTGGATCACGAGGTCAAGAGATCAAGACCATCCTGGTCAACATGGTGAAACCCCGTCTCTACTAAAAATACAAAAAATTAGCTGGGCGTGGTGGTGCGTGCCTGTAATCCCAGCTACTCAGGAGGCTGAGGCAGGAGAATTTCCTGAACCCAGGAGGCGGAGGCTGCAGTGAGCCGAGATCGTGCCATTGCACTCCAGCCTGGGTAACAAGAGCGAAACTCCATCTCAAAAAATAAAAATAAAAAAATAAAGTGCTAAAAGAGCTATCAACCCAGAACTCTATATCCAATGAAAATAACCTTTGGAATGAAGGCAAAATAAGGACATTCTAAGAGGGGGGGAAAAAAAATAAGAGAATTATTTGCTCTAATAGAAAAGCTAGAGAAAGTTCTTTGGGTGAAAGGGAAGTGATACCAGAAAGAATCTTGCAACTTTAAGAAAGAAAGAAAAACAACAGAAATGGCAAGTATCTGGCAGAGTAAGACCCTGTCTCAAGAAGCAAACAAACAAAAGTTGAAATTTTCATACCTATCTTAAAGATATAATATCCTCGGCCAGGTGTGGTAGCTCAAGCCTATAATCCCAGCACTTTGGGAGGCTGAGGTGGGCATATCACCTGAGGTGAGGAGCCAGCCTGAACAACATGGTGAAACCCTGTCTTTACTAAAAATATAAAAATTAGCTGGGCATGGTGGCACATGCCTGTAATCCCAGCTACTCAGGAGGCTGAGGCAGAGGAATCATTTGACCCTAGGAGGCGAGGTTACAGTGAGCCGAGCTTGTGCCACTGCACTCCAGCCTGGGCAACAGAG